TATACTGTATATATATATATATAAAACTAAAATGACAAACAAAAAAGACAAAAAACATAACATTTCTAAAACTGAAAATATTAAAATAAGATAATCTAATATTGAAATAACATTGTTCAAATGTTGCTGACAAATTATAATTTTATAGTGTGACAGCATGCCTTGCTGTTGTATAATATGAAGGAGAATGACTGTACCTGCACAATATGCAGGGGCTGGGATGATTCGATCTGGCCTTATAAGTTTGTAGACATAGTCATTTCCAGGACAAGCTTTGACTTGGATTGAGTCTGATCTGTAGTAACTGCACCGTTCGTAATCAGAGCCGTAGACTTCATGAGTAACAACTCCATCTTCTGGCTGAGGATGAGGGCCACCAAGCCACAGAGAACTATAACCTCCACATAACATATAACTGAAACACCACTCGGGCATCTGAGCACTCGATCAATTAATAAAGAGTCGATACCAGCCATCCCATTCAACACGAGTGTCATCATATCCATTTATAGTATTATGATAAAAAAAGAAATCATTTGGGCTTCTATTTTGGTCGTCAAAAATGCTGTAGTTATTGCATGGGTCGTCATCTGTGTCGGTTACAGCTGTTGAGAACAAACAACAGAAACAATCATTGAGAATCAATACATATTCCACATGACTGTTATAGTTACAAAAATTGATATAACTCTTTCAAAATTCTAATGAAAATTTAAAGAGCCCCAATTAGGTTTTAGACACATTTTATCGACTCAACTGGGAATTGAATGAATTTGACCTTATGTCAACCTACGCAAAATCATGTCGAATGCGGTCACAGCTGAAGTTGTAACAGAAGCAGTTTCGGTGATATAGTGCTGACATCTGAAAGGAAGCAATTTGAAGACGACATAAACAATAAAGACACATTTAAAGAAATAATCCAAAGGCTATTTAAAAACTGTACCTATACAGTAACTTGTACACCGGGATTGTTTTGCTAATTCATACACGTAGTAATTGCCTGGACAGGCTTTGACCCTGATGGGTACAGCAACAAATTCACAGCAGCCTGAATCATCAGTCCCACAGACCTCTATGGTCACCACTGCATCTTCTATCTGAGGATGAGGACCATTGAGCCACAGACTGTATAATCCATTACAGCTGTACAAACCAACACAGCTCTCTGGCATTCGGATGTCCATTCCATTGTAGAAAAATCTGTACCAGCCGTTCATGGAGAAATATTCATCACACATGAATGTTCCTCTTTCATTCGTGGCTCTCCAGGGACGATCCAGAGACTGATAGCTGTAACAACGATCATTGCTGAGGCTGTTGAAAGCAACTGATAAGAAAGAAAAATATCGTTAGCTCGTCGTTGAGATTGACTGGTGACAGTGTTTATTTGCATTGTTTTTCCACTGGATTCAGTAAAGAAATGATTATGCATTGCGCAGCACTATTTCAGTGCATTTTGCACATGGTTAAACTGGATTTCATGTGCTTGTTGAAAAAGCTGCATGAGTTTTGCACTGAAATACCACACTTTGAAGTGGTGTGAATGTTAGTGAATTTGCCCTACAATTTTCAGTGCAAATTTGATTCAGTATTATATCCTAAATGCACAATAATGTAGCATGAGCATCTCAAGTCTAACTGGCTAAAAGTAGGCATATTTCATAATAATGATAAAAAAATATATATAATGAAAACTAATATTAAACTTTAATACAGAGATCTAAGATTTGTTCATGTTTCAGAAAGAAGTCTCTTATGCTCACCAAGGCTGCATTTATTTGATTTAAAAAACTAAATAATATCCAGAACCGTATATTCAGAGCATGGGTCAGTGCTGGATGTTGTGGTATCTAAGAAAATAGTGTCAAGAGACAAAATGTGACAGTTGATAGAGAGGCACAAATTTAACAAACTGTTAATTATAATTTCTGGGGAAAAAAATTTGCAGCTTGATTTGCCAATAGATGAATGGCCAGGAAGCATAGTGACGATATAATTTCGATTTAATATTTTTAAGATTACTGAGCATCTTGACATTGACAAGAATGTTTTTGAGTTTTAAGTGCTTTAAGACGAAATTGACTTAATACATAAAGACAGCAAAACTGATTAGAGGTTATGTTGAGCATTTTGTGAATACAAAACCCTGATACAGTACCTTGAGCCGCAAATTGTTTTGAAGGAATATATTTTACTTAAAGGGGAAGAACTGAAGGATTATAATTCATGATGAAGCAGACCCCCAAGTATAATGATTAACCTACCTGACGTTTGTCCTTCGATTCTTTCACCTGTTAAATACAAAAGCATCTTGTCAGTTCACTTATTTAATAGTGTGACAATTCTTGGCCACAGGTTGGCATTTTTTATAGATGTGACACTTACCGTTATTCAGCAGCAGTAGTGTCACACAAAATAAGATTAGAAACCTAATTTTTGCTCATGAAGACGTAAAACTGATCTGAAAAAATATATATATATATATTCTTCATAACATAACACTATCGAGGTTGAACGTAATATTCTAAATTCTAATCTAAAGTTTGGGAGGAGCTTTCATCTAATCCTGTCAAGCAAATCATGTGCTGCAAAACCTTACTTATAATATATCTATCATAAAATTGTCGTATATTACATATCAGTGTGATCTATTGCATACAGCGCATAGACATGTTTCCTCTCGGCGGCAATAAAAACTAGTAGTAATGAACTGATAGTATCGCTAAAAGTAATAGTATCGAGACACTGATTATATTGCTTCACAACTACACCGAACTTATAACATATGCCAATATGTAAATTATTTGTATAATTTTGTTATTCTGCCCAATTTTGTGCTGTTTAGAAAATGATTTCTAAACACAGACAGGATTGGGTAACACTTTATTTTGATGGTGCCTTTTGAACATTCTGTTGACAATAAGTAATGTTGCAGCTACATGCCACCTAACTCTCATTAGAGTATTAGTAAACTGTCTGCTTCATATCTGCTAACTATTTATTGTGCTGGTCTCCCAAAAGACATTCTAGACCATATGTAACTTTGCAAGTACATGTCAACTTATTGTAACCCTAACCCTACCATGACTACAAATACTCTACTAACACTCTAATGAGAGTTAGTAGATGTGTAGGTGCAACATTACTTATAGTCAACAGAATGCATTAAAGGGACCATCAAAATAAAGTGAAACCCAGGATTGTAACCTTCTTTTTGGCACATATTAATAAAATCTACATCTTCACTGCAACAGTAACATAATTTGTATCAGTATACAAGGATTAAAAGTAAAGAGAAAATAAACAACATCACAAAAACGTTGCTGTATAATAATTTATATCAAAAGATGACTGAAAGAATGAGTGGAGCCAGATGAGATGAATTTAACCTGAGATTAAATGCTGCTGCTGCGTATAGGCCTATTAGGGTGATTGTCTCTTCAACAGTTCAAACTAAATACAGTGATGTTGAACTGCAGGTTTTACAGTCTTATAATTTTGAAATGGTAGGCAGAACATGGTTGGACCTAGGAGTTATTTTTATTTTTGTTTAGCAATACTTCAAACAAGTTTTTTTTTTTTTTCATATCTTAGACATACCATAAATTCTCCCCACCCAACAGCATATTATGGTATGGTTTGGTATGTGTTTTGACAGATTCTTCAGTCTACTAATTAACCTTTCTGAGTTTAGAAAATGGTGACTTTTGACATTTTAAAGTAGAATGACATATATGTACCCTGTGCTTAATGCAAGGGATGCATGATCACTTTGTTTGTGAAATCTATTTTTTCCAACCAAACATGCAGTGCTGGTATAAGACACTTAATTTCACAATCTAGCTGGTGTTTTTCTTTTATCCTAACAATAGGCATGTGTTGTTTGTACAGAGTCCTATTTATCTTATAGAACAAGTGTGTTAGCAGCAGTTGTTATTTTTTATGGCACTGCTGCAGTTTAGCTTGATTTATTGAGCAAACTTTTTTCAAAGCAACTTACAAATGAGAAAATCACAATCTAACTTGTATCAGGAGCTAACAGTATTCATCAGTACACAATTCCAACTTTAATGTGCAAGCAAGAATAATACACAGACTAAAGCTTTGAATGTCAATAGCATGAAGGTCTCTTTCGATATTTGTTCCCTTGCATTTGTTTCCTGCATTTGCCTAGTAAATTCAAACTGCCAAATTTGTAAAGAATCAGAGGTACTTCATGTTAGTATTAACAAATGAGTCTGCGAAATGATTAAATCATTATGCTGATGAATTCTAAATTCATCAATTTTATCTGAAGGTTTCTTATGTACAGTGCATTTTTTCAGTAAAATTACAAATATACAAGAAATCAGTAAAAACTTGTTTGTATCAGTAAAGAATGAAGAGAAAACAGTCATCTCTGTTAACACAAGAACACTAAGAAAAGTTTCTATTCCAGTAATATGTATGACTAGGTCAGAAGAAGAAGAAAAAAACGCTGCAAAACAGCTTTGGCCCATAAAATGTCTGTGTGAGTGTATAGCTGATTTGGTTTGAGATGGTTTATGATAGAATGTAGCCTAAGCCTGACTCAGTATAATAGCTGAACTAACTACATTGTAACAAACAATAGTAAAAACAAAATCACACACACACAGAAATGACAAATATGTCACCAAAGCACAGAGAAAATCAGTTTATTGTGATTTGTTTTATCTCATTATTTAATATGCTTTATCCTCACAATAGTAATAAGACTGTTTGATTTATAAAAGAGTTTAAAGGTTGTGATTTTCAACAATCACCCAAAGGTCACATTTATAGAAAGCTTGTAACAGTTTGGCATCAGTGTCACATTCATCGAGAAAGAGATATAATAAAAATATAAGAATAGATGTGTTAAAACATTAGGTTGATTGTCAGTGGAAATATCCTAGCAGAATATCAGGAGACTCATCAGAGAAATAAGTGATATAGTCAGAGAACCCAACAGACATGGAGCCCTGGATACTAGCACTTGGCGTGGCATCGGCGTATCTGTGAACAGAAATTATACAGCAGTCAGTTGATTGCAGCACTTCACGAGTGCTGATATTTACTTAACAGCACTTTTTACTGTTTTTTTTTTTTTTATAATTCCTATGCATCCACTGTGTTCCAGACCAGAGTATGTGAAGGTTGTGGAACTACAACACTCTTTTTTTTGTAATGTGATATTGCTGAATTAAATTGAATTCTCTTTTTGTTGTTGTTTTGTTTCATAAGTTACCTTTGTTACCATCAGACCACATCAATGGACCAAGGGATATGGAAGTACTGTCATGGAAATCCACAGATCTGCCCGCTCTATGGTGGTGTTCAGAGTCACAGTGCTGAAAGACAGATGAAAAGACAACCAATTTGTGTCAGTTTAAGTTATCATCAGTCGTATCAGCCAAAGGGGTTGAGATTTTGCTAGTCAGCATGGCCCCATCAGCCCCTACTGGTGGTTTATCGCAATTGGAAACAAATAGCATCTTTCTCCACTGACCGTCGCTCAAAAGTATCTTTTACTTAAAGAAAACTGACAACATTTACTAATAACAACAATTATATGACCATGTCCACAAGAAAAATCTGAAAGGTTTTATTACTTGTACATTAATTTGTACACTCACCACTGAGCAGTGATTGTCAGTAACATAATTTGTATCAGTATACAACGATTAAAAGTAAAGAGAAAATAAACAACATCACAAAAACGTTGCTGTATAATAATTTATATCAAAAGATGACTGAAAGAATGAGTGGAGCCAGATGAGATGAATTTAACCTGAGATTAAATGCTGCTGCTGCGTATAGGCCTATTAGGGTGATTGTCTCTTCAACAGTTCAAACTAAATACAGTGATGTTGAACTGCAGGTTTTACAGTCTTATCATTTTTAAATGGTAGGCAGAACATGGTTGGACCTAGGAGTTATTTTTATTTTTGCTTAGCAATACTTCAAACAAGTTTTTTTTTTTTTTCATATCTTAGACATACCATAAATTCTCCCCACCCAACAGCATATTATGGTATGGTTTGGTATGTGTTTTGACAGATTCTTCAGTCTACTAATTAACCTTTCTGAGTTTAGAAAATGGTGACTTTTGACATTTTAAAGTAGAATGACATATATGTACCCTGTGCTTAATGCAAGGGATGCATGATCACTTTGTTTGTGAAATCTATTTTTTCCAACCAAACATGCAGTGCTGGTATAAGACACTTAATTTCACAATCTAGCTGGTGTTTTTCTTTTATCCTAACAATAGGCATGTGTTGTTTGTACAGAGTCCTATTTATCTTATAGAACAAGTGTGTTAGCAGCAGTTGTTATTTTTTATGGCACTGCTGCAGTTTAGCTTGATTTATTGAGCAAACTTTTTTCAAAGCAACTTACAAATGAGAAAATCACAAACAATCTAACTTGTATCAGGAGCTAACAGTATTCGTCAGTACACAATTCCAACTTTAATGTGCAAGCAAGAATAATACACAGACTAAAGCTTTGAATGTCAATAGCATGAAGGTCTCTTTCGATATTTGTTCCCTTGCATTTGTTTCCTGCATTTGCCTAGTAAATTCAAACTGCCAAATTTGTAAAGAATCAGAGGTACTTCATGTTAGTATTAACAAATGAGTCTGCGAAATGATTAAATCATTATGCTGATGAATTCTAAATTCATCAATTTTATCTGAAGGTTTCTTATGTACAGTGCATTTTTTCAGTAAAATTACAAATATACAAGAAATCAGTAAAAACTTGTTTGTATCAGTAAAGAATGAAGAGAAAACAGTCATCTCTGTTAACACAAGAACACTAAGAAAAGTTTCTATTCCAGTAATATGTATGACTAGGTCAGAAGAAGAAGAAAAAAACGCTGCAAAACAGCTTTGGCCCATAAAATGTCTGTGTGAGTGTATAGCTGATTTGGTTTGAGATGGTTTATGATAGAATGTAGCCTAAGCCTGACTCAGTATAATAGCTGAACTAACTACATTGTAACAAACAATAGTAAAAACAAAATCACACACACACATAAATGACAAATATGTCACCAAAGCACAGAGAAAATCAGTTTATTGTGATTTGTTTTATCTCATTATTTAATATGCTTTATCCTCACAATAGTAATAAGACTGTTTGATTTATAAAAGAGTTTAAAGGTTGTGATTTTCAACAATCACCCAAAGGTCACATTTATAGAAAGCTTGTAACAGTTTGGCATCAGTGTCACATTCATCGAGAAAGAGATATAATAAAAATATAAGAATAGATGTGTTAAAACATTAGGTTGATTGTCAGTGGAAATATCCTAGCAGAATATCAGGAGACTCATCAGAGAAATAAGTGATATAGTCAGAGAACCCAACAGACATGGAGCCCTGGATACTAGCACTTGGCGTGGCATCGGCGTATCTGTGAACAGAAATTATACAGCAGTCAGTTGATTGCAGCACTTCACGAGTGCTGATATTTACTTAACAGCACTTTTTACTGTTTTTTTTTTTTTTATAATTCCTATGCATCCACTGTGTTCCAGACCAGAGTATGTGAAGGTTGTGGAACTACAACACTCTTTTTTTTTAATGTGATATTGTTGAATTAAATTGAATTCTCTTTTTGTTGTTGTTTTGTTTCATAAGTTACCTTTGTTACCATCAGACCACATCAATGGACCAAGGGATATGGAAGTACTGTCATGGAAATCCACAGATCTGCCCGCTCTATGGTGGTGTTCAGAGTCACAGTGCTGAAAGACAGATGAAAAGACAACCAATTTGTGTCAGTTTAAGTTATCATCAGTCGTATCAGCCAAAGGGGTTGAGATTTTGCTAGTCAGCATGGCCCCATCAGCCCCTACTGGTGGTTTATCGCAATTGGAAACAAATAGCATCTTTCTCCACTGACCGTCGCTCAAAAGTATCTTTTACTTAAAGAAAACTGACAACATTTACTAATAACAACAATTATATGACCATGTCCACAAGAAAAATCTGAAAGGTTTTATTACTTGTACATTAATTTGTACACTCACCACTGAGCAGTGATTGTCTGTCAGAAGGCAAAGGTGAACAGCACAGTGCAGGTAAACCTTGGTGGAGTCTGCAGTGAATATAAACATCTCGAAGGAGAAACGGCTGGATGTAGAAACACCATTTTGCAGCAACTCCACTGTATCATCATTAGGATTGGGACACCTGAGCATTTTGGAACAGTATAATAAAGATATTATAAAGATAACAAAAAACTAAAATGATTTACTAGGTTAACTATGTTCAAGTATTGTACAATTTAAGGTTTGGAAAGATATGAGGGTAAGTAAATAAACATAAATTTATTTTTTAGATAGCGCTAAGTGAAGACAAACCAAACAAAAACATGGACTTGCCCATCAACGATGAGGTCCCAGCGGAGAGGGTAATGAGGATCGTTCACAGGTGTAGCCCAACATGTGTCAATCACTGAAGCAAACTGACGGCTGTCAACTCCATCAACACCAACGTCCACAAAAATCCGCTTGCTCAGCTCTGCGTTCACACTACCAGCGAAGGGGTGGGAGAATTCGGCATCCTGATATGGAATCATCCTGACCTGATATGTCCCTTGACCAGCAGGAAGGTTCATGTGCACAGTGCTGTTGAAATAATTTTACATGATATGTGTCAACTACAAATAAGTATAATTAATAGTTCATTCCGTAAGTTGGATAAAGTCAGTGTGCCCCACCTCTCCAGAGGGTTGATGTCCATGGAAAGTATTTGGGTTTGTGAGTAAACGCAGCTGAAAGGAAGCTTCAGAATTCTTTTCCTGCTGATGAGATGCCCAACTAATTTTGGCTCCCCCACAATAAAGTTCTTATAGATGAAGTGGGTGCCATTGGCCTGTATGGACATATTATTTGAATATTTGTACTTTAAGGGACTTTTTAAAGTATGATTTACAAAACAAATAAATAAAATAAAATGATTTGTTGTTATTTTGACCATTCAAAGATGTACATAATGAATCCTACCACAAGATTTGTGCCACAGATGTGGTCATTGTTGTCAAAATAGAACTCCACTCTGCCATTCCGGACTGTTCCTCTGCAGTTGGGGTCATTGAGGTGTAAGATGTCAGAAGGAAAACCAGCCTCAAAAAGCTGACAGCGAGACAGAGACATGGAGCCAGAGCTGCTTTCACAGGTTTCAATGAAATCTGAGAGCGAAAACATCCAAGAGAATGTCAAAAACAAAAATATAATCAATGATGAACATTAAAACAACATTGAAATGTTGTGCAATGAGTCCAACCAAAGGAGTCATGCTGAGATCTGTGATGGTTTTCCTTGCAGGAACAGCCGTAAACACCATGTTTCTCTTCACACTGTTCATTCTCAGTGCAGCTGAGCTCAAGACAGGGGTCTCCTTCACCTAAGAGGAGAACAACAGGATTAATGACAAAAGTTGAGGCATAGATAAAACACACATCTGGGGTGAAGATAATATCTTGGCTTCCTTTGTTAAATAAAACAATCTTTGCGATAACAGATTGAGCATTAGGACTTTTTGTTTTACTGGACTTACTCAAAAAAAAATAAAAAAAGTTACAAGTGGTTAAAACAGACCTATGGAATTTTATAAGTAAAAACATCAAAAAACACCATTACTGATATCAGTTCACGTGACATCTTTTCATTCAATGTGTCATTCAAATATGTGTTTTTTTTCTAAATTGTTTAAAAAATACTTGAGGGAATGGTTGATCTAGTGGTGGTCATGTAGGTGGTGCTCTCTTCTGTAAAGACAGAGAAAAAATGCAACAGTGAAAATGAGTGCAACAGAGTTCTAGAGTTCTAAACCAATCCAATCACCTCTGAGACAAATCATAAAATTACAAAAAGTATATGGAAAATACCTGAGGGAAGGCTTGATGTGGTGGTGATAATGTGTGTAGTGCTCTCGTCTGTAAAGAGAAAAATACATTCAAATTTTTTTTTTACCATATACCAACTCAGACATGCCAATAGAGCACAGCAGTCATCATCCACCTTTTCAGCAGCCTTGGTTCTGAAGTACCTTTTCTATTCATTGCCTCCATAAGGATTTGAAACATCTTGTCAACTGGGACAAACCACAAAATTACAAAAACCATTACAAAATACCTGAGTGAATGCTTGATTTGGTGGTGGTCATGTGTGTGGTGCTGTCTTCTGTAAAGAGAAAGATAAAATTAAATTGTTTCTTTATTACATGCCAACACTTATATGACTGTAGAACACAGTAGTGATCATCAACTCGTTCAGTGGTCTTGGTTCTGGTAGAGTTTTTCCTATTCATTTTCTCCACAGGAACTCACAACAATATTTTCTTAGTGTGTAAACACAAACATTTAGGTGATGCGACTCAGAAAAGTTAATATAAGAGATATTAAACACGTGCACTGACCATAGCAGCCACGAAGTCCATTTCTGACCGTACACTCCATCGTCGATGGGCATGTTGAATCAGAGCAGCGCAAATCATTTGGAGCAAAACATTCACAGAGTTGGGAACATTCTTCATTCCAGAATTGCTCACCAACCTAAGAAATTACACCACAAAACAATGAACTTTATACTTCCAGAACAACGTATATATGAGTTGTTTTAGTATTGATATACTATATACAAGGCTCCGATATCTTATAAATGAAATCGAATAAAGCTTTGTCAAAAGAGAGCTTCAGTCCTTACATTAAAGTAGAATCCGGTATGCAAGCAGCCACATTGCTCTACTGATGCACAGAGTCCTCCACTCCTCACCAACCCATCATCACAGAAACATCCCTCTGAGCAGGTGTGTTCACAACTAGCATCAATGTTGCTGGCGCAAGTATGACCACAGTCTGTGCCACACAACTCATAGTGGCTGTTCTCTGGGCAGGTTATGACTGGAAATGTAACATTTGTATTTATGTCAAGCATGTCTTAAAAATGTATTCTATTTTTCAAGTTAAGTACACACTAACGGAAATTATCTCACTCACCACAGGATGCGCTTTCTCTCCAGGGGTAGATAACGGCATTGTTAGATTGACAGGCACTCGCATAGGTTTGGATCGAGCGACACAGGACATCATTACGGTTTCCAGAAAGGCAAACATCGAACACACAGTCATCAAAGTAGGCTTGAGGATCGGCATAAACATGGCAGAAACTAAAGGGGCCCTCACTGGACCTGATGATGTCACACAGGGAACGGGAGGTTGTCTGATCCTGGCACAAAGGGCAATTGTTTCCACACCCATCATTGCATGGCAGCTCGTCCTCAACCTTCCAACTTGCTCCAAACTGGTCTGCTGAGCGCACCAGAGCACCTGAAGGAGTCATGAAGTCATCATTACTCTGGCCGTTGAAGTTTCCACAGATGCCACACGTAACACCACCGTAGTCCGCTGGTACGATGATGTCCACCGCCCAGGAGCCACTATAACCAACGCTCAAACCAAAGTCAGTTGATACAAATATGTACTGTGCGCTGGAGTACACAGACACCCGTCCAGAGTCAAGCAGGATGGGGAGGTTTCTGGTCTCTCCATCAACCTGATTGAAAAGAGAATAAACCAATAGCTTGTTTTAAAGCTAAGCAGCCAATATTGCTGATAAATGACTAAATACAATAAGGCTTGAAAACAAGTGCACTTCTGGGTGTGTTCTCCAGAGTAATACCAGAGGGAAATTGTTTGAAGAGCAGATTTGTTGTAGAAAAGAGAATAAACCAATAGCTTGTTTTAAAGCTAAGCAGGCAATATTGCTGATACATGACTAAATACAATAAGGCATGAAAACTCATCATTAATATTTATGTTTTTATATATCACCTATAATGCTTGATTACCTCAACAGTAAACCAACGGTTCATGTCCCGTGACATGTGCACAAGATGCCCAGAGACATTGACAAAAATTTCAACAGTAATTGACACTGGGAGTCCATGCCATGCCTCGTTCCTTGCATCCACCTGGAAGTGCGGAAGCCCAGTAGTGTCATTACATACTGTGGCTAGCACATAGCGGCATGTGCCCTGGAAGTCAAAGTAGGATTTATCAAAAGACATGTAGTGGGGGTCTCCTGAAGCAGAGCAACGAGCGTGTGGCCGAGGATGGCAGCCGTACTCGCCGTCCAACACATGGCAGACCTCCACCTCACTGCAAGAAGATGGTGTGCAATGAACATTTCCAGTGATTCCATCACAAACACACAAGAACTGGCACTCTTCACCATGCCAGAACGTCTCTCCAGCCTGCCGATAACGCCCAGAGTGGTAGCAACCACAACCCACGGGAGGCACACAACGATCTCCATTCAACACATTTCCGTCATTACACTGGCATCCCTCCTGGCACTGCAGTGTGCACTGAAATGGAAAGGAGAGGCTGGGGCAGGATGCAGGACAAGATGTACCGCATACAACATAATGGGAATTTGCTGGACAGCTGGGATCTGGAATTACAAAAGCATAATGACAATGGTAGAAAAGATAAGCAAATTTCAGCTTCATGAAATCCAGTTGTAGATCAGCAGATCCAACACTTGATGCTTACCACAGTGGGTGGCAATCCTCCACTCTTCTACTGCAATGCCATTCTGTTGGCAAAGTAGCGTGTAACCTCGCAAAGCCTCACATAGAGCCTCTCTGGCACCTTGTGTCTGCTCCAGCAGCTGAACGCAATCTGCTATCCGTTGCTGAGGATCTGTTGCTCTGCTGCACTCAGCAAATGGTCCATCATGCTTGGCCATTATGCTACAATGTTCAATGAACTGGCTGCTGTTCTGATAATGTCCTGTTTCCCAGCTGTCATTTGGGTCCTCACAGTGAGCTGATAGGGAACCATCACGCCAGCTGTCCGCAAACAGCTGAGTGTCATTTAACAGGACAGCATCTGGAGTATAAAACTCATCGGCAATGTCTCCATTCAAGTTCCCACACAGACCTCCAAGTGTGCCACTATATGTGCTTGGTGCCGTAATTCGGACAATGTGCGGCCAGTCAGCTCTTACAGTCACCCCAAAGTTTGTTTCCAAAACAAAACCCCTCACACTGCTGTGATAAATGCGGATTTGACCAGAGCCAACACTGACAGGCAGACCGACCATCTGTCCATCCACCTGAAAAGAGTGATAAACAGTGTCAGGAGACTTTCCATCTAGCGTATGAATTTGAAAAATAATGCAATTATGCTCTTGGACTGAGTAACAGCTTAGTGATTTCATATTGTGCCTTACCTTTACATTGCTGCCCTCTCCCATTTCGATGGTGACCTGAATTCCTTCTGCCTCAAACTTCAGAACCCTGGAAAAGTCTTGAAGGCCTCTGGGTACTTTCTCCACCGTCAGCACAAAGTGTGGTAGTGGGGATGGCCCCATCACCCTAGTAAGGGTCAATCCGCATGCTCCGGAGTATCTGAAACTTTGTCCATCGAAGGTGTGATATGACCCGAGGTCTTCAACCGAGCAGGTAGCATAGCCAGTGGGTCTGCAGCCTCTCACACCATCATGGACTCCACACACCTCTGCTGGACCACACTGGTGCTCATGGCAGGTCATCGACATGCTGCTGCACACACACTGTCTCCCACAGTCACCATCCAACACCACTGACTGTCCTTCAACGTAATAGAAGCCCTCAAAGATGCAGCCACAGTTTGCTTCAGGCACACACTCTCCAGCGCTCAGGATGTACCCAGGATCACAGATACAGCTTTCCTGACTGGGCAAGGGACAGTTCATTGGGGCAGACGGATTACTGCAAGTCACAGGACAACCTGTTCCTTGAGGCTCAAAATGACTGTGTACAGGGCATTGAATTTCTGAAAATAGAGAAATAAAATAAAGAACATACAGCAAGAATATGCGGTCTGAACAGAGATTTCTCAACAAGATCTCAACAAGATACCTACCACAGAAGCCCTGCTGTCTCCATTGACCAAGGTGTACACCCTGCTGTTGGCACTGAGTAGCATACACATTGAGAGCCTGGCATAGAATGGGCTGGTACCCTCCTCCCAAGCAAAGATCATACACACAATTCTCTATGTAGGTCTGTGGTGCATGAACAGGGTGGCAATCAACAAAAGGGCCGACAACATCTTCCAGGATTCCACAGTGGCTGCTGTCACTGTACAAAGTCATTTCATCTGTGGTACAAACAGCACAAGCCAGACCTGTGCACCTGACATTATGGCATTCAGGATCTGTGTCACTTTGTACCTTCCAGCTGTTAGCAAAGTCCACATCTGAGCTCAAGATCTCACCACTGGGTGAACGGAAATCATCTTCGGGGTGCAGATTAAAGTTTCCACACAGACCACAGGTGAAATTAAAATAGTCATAAGGTACAGAGATGCTGACGTAGCTGTATGCATCATATGTAACAAGCAGACCAAAGTCTGTGCTGATGGCCAAGGTAAACCCTGATTGATAGACCTGGATGGAGCCATTGCGGAGGGTGAATGGCGTTGCTGCAAAGCTTCCACTAACCTGGACAATTTCAGAAAAAGACGGAATTAGAATAATAAGCAGAAGGCTGCTTTCAAGTGACAATTAAAGTAAATTGTCATACTAACCCTCGCTTCATAATAGTGATCCTTGACCAGTTCAATTACTTCATCATAGACAAAAACTCTGACCATCCGTGTCCATGACACATGCGTGCTGCCCCGATGCTCATTTTTGCCCTCAATGCGATAATATGGCAAACCATTGCCACAAGCCTGAAATAAAACTTCAAGGATTACCAGCTGATTCATACAAAAAATAAACAGAAACCCATATAAATTATAGAGAACGGCTAACCTCAGAGAGAACATAAGTGCAGGTCCCTTGAAAGTGAAAAACCTGATAGTCAAAGGTGTAGTAGTGAGGATCACCAGAGATGGTACAGGTTTGCCGTTGAATGTTCTGGCAAGAGTATTGGAAGGCTGCTGGACGGCAGGCTTGGGAGTAAGTGCAGGGCTCGTGGCTACACTGGAGGCCACTGCTGGTGCAGGTGCATCTCTGCTGGCAGGTGGCATCACTCCAGAAAGAGTCTTCAAGCTGCACTGGAATGCCTACAATAAAGTATTGTTTCACATTGCTTAGAACTCAATATTGTTGTATGTTAGGAGATCAAACACCTAAAACTATTTTAACAAGATTTTTTTAAAGGTTTACCAATAAGCTAAAGTGAAATGAAAAGTGTCTATTGAGGGTTACTGCAAATAATTTAATTAGTTTAAGAGGACAGAAAAACCTTACCATTAAACTGACAACCCCGTGATCCATGATCTGTTCTGAAGACCCATCTGCCTGGCACATTGACATTGCTGCTGTATGTTAAGCTTGTGATGTTATACTGTAGTGATCCAGTAATTGAAAAGTGGTATGTAGAGCTGATGGTGTCATAACCAGCCTACAATAAGTGACCAAAAGAAAATGTTAGTTTCTATTTCAGTTAGTAAATTGGAATAGTTTCAACTAGTCACATCAGTGCAGACCTGTACATATCTTTGAGTTGGAGCAATTGTTCCATAATTAAACAAAACAAATGAGAAATGCCCATCTGAAATCAAAACCACCTGGAAAGATGTTTCCTGAAAAATACAAATTTAAAAAATCATGTGCTGGCCAACACAAGTTTGCTAAAAATCACAAAAAGCAGTAATCATACAATGTGCATTATTTTACTCTATGGTGGGTTACATCAATTTTGATTTTTATAATATCAAATATGATATTAAAAAAGAACAGGATTTTACAAAACCAGATTGGATTTCTTACGGTTCCTGAATATGGATAATATGCAACTCTGTCCCATGTTGCAACAAAGACCCAAGTAGCAGAAAAACTCAAATCAGGGAAGTATTGGTTAATGTCTTGTGTGGCCTCTGCAAGAACACTGCCAGAGGAGTACTGACGATATGAAATAAAACCATTGCCCCGGTTATCAATATCTGTCCAGAATGGAGCGATGAGGTCTTCTCCACCATAACCTGGGAACTGGTATGGAAAGTAGCTGTACCATGGCCAATCAAAAGTCAAGTATCCATTGTTGTTGATCTGAAATAAAGTATTATAATATGCACAACACTTTTAATAATAATAAATCCAACCAAGCAGCAACACAGCCATCATTTACTATCCTAAACTTTATATGGTACAGGTTAAGAGTTACAAATAGATTAAAGCAGTGGTTTTCAAAACTCTCCATGAAGTATCCCCAGCACTGCACATTTTGTACGTCTCCTTATATCTGACAAACCCACTTCAGGTCTTGCAGTCTCCACTAATGATCTGATGAGTTGAATCAGGTGTGATAGATGAGGGAGACATACAATATATGCAGGGCTGGGGGTACTCCAGGACAGGTTTGAGAACCACTGGACTAAAGTGTTGAAACTTGCTATATTAATGAGGGAGCAAAACTATTTTGATCATTCAAAAGTTAAATCACTTGTAACTCAGTATGAGTGCCATGGTGATTTAAACAAAATAATACCAGATTCACTTACATATAATTGGTTATATGTCTGTCCAAAAAATCTAAATGGTTGTAGAAGGGAAATCACTGGTGAAATCCCATCATCAGAACGATCATTCTCTGTGTCGCCAGCTCCAAATGGATAAAATGGTCCTGCAACAGTGGTATAGCCAGAAAAATATGGTGTACTGTATGGTATACTGTTTTTTGGGTATAAAGCTCACATACCACATATATCACAGCACATATAGTGTAAGGTATAAAATACTATTTGGCTACTAATGTTTCAATGTTCTGTTACCATGTGATGTCATAGTTACATTATTTTTGTTTAAATTGTTAAAATACCTGAGGAAATATTTGATCTTGTTGTTGTATGTGTGACATTAACTTCTGTGAAGAAAAATATAAGCAAACTGTAAAATATATGTATGCATGAAACACTTTTCAAACAAAAATATGAAGTACTTATGCTCTACCTGCACAATATGCAGAGCAGAATGGTGGTCTGACAAATTCATACACATAATAGTTTCCTGGACAAGCTTTGACTCGTATGGGATGAGATTTGTGACCACAGCAGTCATTCCATGTGGAAACGCACACTTGCCGAGTGACCACTCCATCTTCTAGCTGTGGGTGAGGGCTGTTGAGCCACAGTGGGGAAGGAGTGCCACACATGCCATAACCAACACATGAATCTGGCATCTGGACACTCTGACCATAGTAGAACAACCTGTACCAGCCGTTCCAGTTGACATTATAATCACATATTCCATAGTAATAATATTTATCGTAGTGTGGGCTGATGGTGGCTCTCTGGGGTTCATCTAGACTGTTATAGTTGTAGCAAGGGTCAGCACTTGGAGTGGTGAAAGCAACTGTTTTATGAAAAGTAAAAAGGTGTTAAGATTTCTTCAAAAACAAACACAAATCCTTTTCATTGTAAATACATTATTCTTTAGCAAGTCTGTAAATGCAGTCGTTACATCAAAGCTCAAAATTTAGCTCATAATAAGCATGTAACAGATGTAGAAGAATTACTGTACCTGCACAATATGTAGGGGCTGGGATCAATACCTTTGGCCTTTTAATTTTGTAGACATAATAACTTCCAGGACAAGCTTTGACTTGAATGGGGTCTGATCTGTAGTAACTGCACTGGTCATTAACAGAGCCGTAGACTTCACGAGTAACGACTCCATCTTCTATCTCAGGATGAGGGCCACCAAGCCACAGAGAACTATAACCTCCACATAACATGTAACTGAAACACCACTCGGGCATCTGAGCACTCGATCCATCAATGAAGAGTCGATACCAGCCATGCCATTCAACTAGAGTGTCATCATGTGCATATTGATACCAGAGATTGAGTGTGCTTCTCCATGAGTTGTCAAGAATGTTGTTGTCATAGCACGGGTCAAAATCTGTGTTGATAGCAGCTGATAAGACAGAAATCGGAAAATAAATAAATGAATTCATAAGGCAATGTTCGTGTTAGCAGTCAAAAGTCTATCTGAGCTACTTTGTGCTGCATGCCATTGGCTCTTTATTATAAACAGAGAACATTTTTTTAAATAACCAATATCTTTCTAAAAGTATATGTAACAAATGCTGTAATTAATTATTTTCAAACATTTTACTAAATGTCTTAAAAACAAGATTTCATATGTATTATCCTTTGAACTAAGATGAAATATTATTTTGACTGTAAAAAACCTACTCATGCTGGACCCCATAAATGTAGCTGGACTTGTAGAGGAAAAAGTTGTTGATATAGTGCTGGCATCTGAAAGAGGGAATTTTAAGAGACTGATCAAACAATATAAAGGTTTTGAATTAAAAAAAAGTGCTACAGAATAATTTTACCTGTGCAGTATCCTGAACAATAAAATGAATGTGGCTTTACAAGTTCATAGACATAGTAATTGCCTGGGCAGGCTTTGACTCTGATGGGTGTTGATTTAAAATCACAGCAGCTGTAATATCTGCCTCCACAGACCTCCATTGTCACCACTCCATCCTCAATCTGAGGGTGAGGACCATTGAGCCACAGACTGCTATATGTGTTACAGCTGCCATCAGCAACACAGCTCTCTTGCATTCGAATGTCCATTCCGTTGTAAAAAAGTCGGTACCAGCCGTTCCAGGAGAAATTTTCATCACAAATGTAAAGTCCAGTTTCATTTGTGGCTCGCCAGGGACGATCCAGATTTTCATAGTTGTAACAAGGATCATTACTGATGTTGTTGAAAGCAACTGATATGGAGAAAAAAAAAGGTTGTTAGTGAAATCGCTGTTTAAATGCTGTATTACAGGGTAATTTATATAACTTGATGCATAATAACGACATCTCATGGCTGTGTGTGTCTAGTCTAACTGGTTAAAGCATCCATGACCCATATAAAAGTTTAACATTGTTACTACCTGTACATATTATATAAATATATTGGTATATCAATGTTGAGTTGTAACAAAGAGTAAATCTTTCATATAGGGGATTAATAAAACCATCCATAAAGAACACACAAGTTAAAACTGCACCTGCACAGTACGTAGGCGTAGGGATTGACATGTCAGGTTTGACGAGTTTATAGACGTAGTAATCTCCTGGACAGGCTTTGATTTCAATGGAGGTGGATTTATAATAGCCACAATGGTGGGCGTTCCACCACCACCACCACCACGCCCAAGACGACGACCCCAAGACTTCACGGGTCACCACCCCATCCTCAGGTTTTGGATGAGAGCCATTGAGATAAAGTCCAACTTCACCACCACATCCTGTGAAACTCGCACACCACTCAGACAGCTGAGCACTCTCTCCATTCAAATACAGCCGATACCAACCATTCCATTCAACAAATCTGTCATCATTGTAATAAGATTGGTAGAAGTTCGTGCGCAAGTCTCTCCAGCCGTCATCAAGAACATTGTAACCAGAGCATGGGTCAGAGCTGGGAGTTGGGGCTTTACGAGAAGAGGGTCAAGAGAAAAAAAAGTTACAACAAAGGGAGTTTTTTTTTTTTTCCTTAAAAAGTTTCCATAATGTTCCAATATGGTCATTAAATGTGAGGATGGTGGTTTGTACATTTTAAATGATTTTATCCATAAATTTTCCCTAGACACATATTGATTCAAACCCGTATTGCATTCTAAAAATCTGGCTATACATTCAGCCCAAAAATAGATCAATACAAGACTAAGCAAATTACATTCTGCAATAGACTGGCATGATTAATTATAGTTAAAAAAAACTAAACATACAATTTAAGAGCAAATGCAAATGTGCTTACCTGCACAGTAGGTCCCAGAGCAGAAATTTGGTTGAACAAACTCATAGACGTAGTAATTTCCTGGGCAGGCTTTCACTTTAATGGGATTGGATTGGAAATAGCAGCAGTCATTGCCCCAGTGACCACAGATATTTCGGGTGACCACTCCGTCCTCGACTTGTGGATGTTGACCATTTAGCCACAGTGGGGCGTGAGTGCTACATCTATACTGATCAACACATGTGTCTGGCATCTGACCACTCTGGCCACCAATGAAGAGACGATACCAGCCATTCCAGTTGACATGAGCATCACACATTATGAAGGAGGAATGCTGATTGCTAATGGATCGCCAAGAATCATCAAGCACAGTGTAGTTATAGCAGGGGTCAAAAGGAATAGCTTCTGCTGTGGAAACATTAGCAATATAAATGGATCATTTGCTAAATAAACCGAGTTACTAAACATTTCTTTTTAGGTCAATATTTGTTTAATTTTAATTTACCTACAAATGGAGCTTCATTAAAAGTTGTCTACTTAACTTGAACATTTTCTTGTTGAGCTACCTGGTACAGATTTAATTTATACATAGCTAAAAAAAAAATTGTAAGCATAGTGGAGCATAGTGTACATAGAGAACTAATTTTATTACCCAAGAGCATAAATTTGGACTACTAATTCTTTCAATATAAAATAGCAAAAATAAATTTCATGAAAAAGATATCTAGAAAAAAAAAATTCTAGAACACGAGTGAAACAGTTAAAACAAATTTTTTTTTTACCTGGGGTTGTAACAGACAAAGTACTGGATTCTGTGGGTGGAATTGTCACTGTTGTTTCAGATGTTGTTGTAGATGCAAGGTTGGTAACATCTGTAAAGTAAAAATGATACTTTTAACTGTCAAAAATTGTTTAACCTAAAATATCAAAAGCAAAAACAAAGCATGTTTAAAAAAAATAAATAAAAATAACTACCTGCACAGTAAGATGCACAGAATGTTGGCCTGACAAACTCATACACATAATAGTTTCCTGGACAAGCTTTGACTTGTATTGGATGAGATTTGTAACCACAGCCGTCATTCCATGTGGAACCACATACTTGTCGTGTGACCACTCCATCTTCTAACTGTGGGTGAGGGCCATTGAGCCACAGTGGGTGAGGAGTACCACACATGTCAGAACCAACACTTGACTCTGGCATCTGGACACTCTGACCATAGTAGAAGAGCCTGTACCAGCCGTTCCAGTTGACATTATAATCACACATGTAATTGTTGTAATAATTGTCAGTGGCTCTCCAGGGGTCATCCAGACTGGTGTAGTCATAGCAGGGATCAGTATTTGGAGTGTTAAATAAAACTATAGTGAAAATATAAAGAGTAAATGCATTTAAGATGTTTAAATCCATTTAAAAATCAACAAATCTATAAGTGTAGTTTTAAATGAAAGGTGACAATACAATTTATGGTATGACTGTACCTGCACAATATACAGGCACTGGGATTGATGGTTTTGGCCTTAAAAGTCTGTAGACATAGACATTTCCAGGACAAGCTTTGACTTGGATGGGGTTGGATGTGTAGGAACTGCACTGATCATTAACAGAGCCATATATTTCACGGGTAACAACTCCATCTTCTGGCTGAGGATGAGGGCCACCAAGCCACAGAGAAATAAAACCTCCACATGACATATAACTGAAACACCACTCGGGCATCTGAGCACTCGATCCATTAATGAAAAATCGATACCAGCCATGCCATTCAACACGAGTGTCATCATATCCAGACATATACCAGAGTGTGCTTCTCCAGTAATTGTCAAGAATGTTGTAGTTATAGCATGGGTCATAATCTATGTTGATTACAGAGAGAGACAGAGAGACAGAGAAAACATACATAATAAAATAAAATAAAAATTAGGAAAGAGCAAGCTGTGTTTCATTGTTCTATTTATTAGTCAAACACCCCTATTTTTGAGTGGGCAGATTTTGGCCTAAACATCTGGACACAAAACTAAAAACACTAGAAAACTATCATCTAGAAAATGATACTGATCCACTCCTAAATTTTCAACTATCCCCTGCAAATGTCATTGTCACACATATCACTTAACGCTTTGAAGAACATGCTTTTCATGACTACTTGTAAACTAGTCTCGGTGGACTAAAGACTATTTTGAGTTTTCACTATAGAAACGTACTCAAAGTCATGCTGAATCCAGGACTGGTAGCTGGACTTGTAGTGGAAACCAGAGATATTGTGCTGACATCTAAAAAGAGGAAATGAAACATATTACTGAAATTATTATAAACGTGTTAAAAGAAGCTATTAAATCATATGAAAACATATTACCTGTACAATACCCTGAACACCCATATGCTGGTTGATTCACAAGTTCATAAACATAGTAATCGCCTGGGCAAGCTTTAACTCTGATGGGTGTTTGCTTCAAATCATAGCTGGAATACCATGTCCATGTTCTTGTACAGACCTCCATGGTCACCACTCCATCCTCTACCTGAGGGTGAGGACCAGCGAGCGACAGACTGTACTGTGTGTTACAGCTGCCTGCATTAACACAGCTCTCTGGCATTCGGATGTTCGCTCCATTGTAAAAAAGTCTGTACCAGCCATTCCAGGAGAAGGATTCATCACAAATGTAAAATCCAGTTTCATCTGTAGCTCTCCAGGGACGATCCAGAGATTCATAGTTGTAACAAGGATCATTACTGATGCTGTTGAATGCAACTGATATGGAGAAAAAAGGCTGTTTGTGAAATCACTGTTTAAATGTTAAAAGTGTCAGCTTATTAAAATAAGACTTCAAGTCTCATTGTTGTGTTTCTTAGAATATACAGAATTCATGAAATGGAAATTAACTATACCAAAATATACATTTTTCACACAGAGAATAAACATGAACAGTAATTTATACAAAGCAGTACACAAGTACCTGCACAGTATGTAGGCCTAGGGATTGACACATCAGGTTTGTCAAGTTTATAGACATAATAATCTCCTGGACAGGCTTTGACTTGAATGGAGGTAGATCTAAAATAGCCACATTGGTTGGAGTTCCACCACCAACTTGAAGATCCCAAGACTTCACGGGTCACCACCCCATCCTCAAGTTGTGGATGAGAAGCATTGAGATAAAGTCCAACTTCACCACCACATCTTGCGAGTGTCACACACCACTCAGACAGCTGAGCACTTTCTCCATTCAAATACAGCCGATACCAACCATTCCATTCAACAGCAGTGTCATCATGGTCGTATGACTGGCTGTTCTGGCGCAAATCTCTCCAATCATCATCAAGAATATTATAATCAAAGCATGGGTCAGAGCTGGGAGTTGTGACTTTTGAGAGACCAAATATGAAAGAAGTAATAGTGAAGGGTTGGGTTTTGGCTTATGTATGTATGTATGTATGTATGTATGTGTATTTGATATAATATATATTTGATATATATTACACACACACACACACACATATATACACATGTATACACACATATTTTATATATATATATATATATATATATATATATACACACACAGTATATACTGTATATATGAACAAATATGGCATTATGGGTTGAACAATAAAAAAATAATATGTTTTTCTGTGACAACAGGAAATCTTTTTGAAAGTGAAACATTATTAAAATATATAAGGTTATTATTATTATTTGTTTGCAAATTGTTTAAGTATTCTTTGTTATTGTTAGATTAAAAAAATTATGTCAGAGAACAAAGAACATTAAATTACCAGTTGGGGTGGTGTGTGGCGTGACATCTGTATATCTGATATTCGTCACTTCTGTAAAGTTTTGGATGAATATTAGTTAAATACAAAAACACAATTATACAAGTTTTAATGTAAATATATTTACCTGAGCAGTATGCCACAGAGCAGAACACTGGGTTCATGAACTCATACACATAATAATTTCCTGGGCAGGCTTTCACTTTCATAGGATTAAACACATAATTGCAGCAGTCATTGTTCCAGTGGCCACAGACATGACGGGTGACCACTCCATCCTCGACTCGTGGATGCTGACCATTTAGCCACAGTGGGGCAACAGTGCCACAGCTAAACTGATTAACACATGTTTCTGGCATCTGAGCATCTTGGCCTGCAATGAAGAGACGATACCAGCCATCCCAATTAACACTAGCATCACAATTGTATGAATTGTGATTGTCTGTGGCTCTCCAAGGATCATCCAGGGCTGTGTAGTTGTAGCAGGGGTCAATGCGGAAAGCCTCTGTTACAAATAACAACACACACACACACACACACACACACGGTTTAAGTGTAAAGATTTTGTAAACCTACAATACATTTCAGTACAGTAAATGTTAATTCAGTAAAATGAAATATGAATGCATAAATATTGTGTAGCTCAACATGAAAGTCAGCAAAGAAACTAGTACTGCATTTGCAAATTTCAAACATTGTTTTATCTAGTGTCTTAACACAAACACATGGTGTGTTGACAGACTGTACTGACTGTTTTATGACATTTCCTGTCAAAACGTCAACAGTCAGTAGAGGGCATAGCATACTACATTACCAGCCAATGTTGTCTCTGGAGTGAAAGTAGGAATGCTGATGCTATTGTTCCTAACATCTGTAAAACAAAATTAAATGACTATTAATTAATAAACAGCAAAAAATATTAATTACATAGTACAAAAGGCACATGTTGATGTATTCACCTCAACAGTATGCAAAAAAGCAAACTCAAATGTAATGCATAACGTGGGTGAATGCAGATATGTTTACCTGCACAGTAGGTCCCATAGCAGAAACTTGGGCTAACAAACTCATAGACGTAGTAATTGTCTGGGCAGGCTTTCACTCTAATTGGATTTGACTGGAAACCACAGCAGTTATTCCACCAGTGACCGCAGACATCTCGGGTCACCACTCCATCCTCAATTCGTGGGTGTGGACCGTTTAGCCAAAGTGGGGCATGAGTGCCACAGCTTAGCCGATCAACACATGTGTCTGGCATCTGAACGCTCTGGCCATGAATGAAGAGACGATACCAGCCCATCCAGCTGACATAAGCATCACACATTAAATTGAAGGTATATCGATTGTCTGTGGCTCTCCAAGCATCGTCCAGCACAGTGTAGCTATAGCAGGGGTCAAAGTGGAGGGCTGTGAAAACATATTTAAAAATATATATTAATTCATATAATTTTTTTTTTTTACTCTTGTGGTGTGAAATCAACCTAGAAATGGAGCTTAAAACGATTTTTCCAGACTCCCCTATAAATTATATTTGAAGTCTTTGATTATACATGGCAAATTGTAAAGCTTCTATTTATTGAGAAGAAGAAAAAAACAGCTGACAGCCAGTGAGCTTACCTAAAAATAAAACCTAATTACACAACATTCTCTAGCCATAAGTTCAATACCTGTGTCTGTGACAGGCGGAGTAATGGATTCTGGGGGTATGACTGCCACTGTTGTTGTAGGTGATGTTGTAGATGTTGGGCTGCTGAGGCTTGAGACATCTGGTGCCGGGAACATTTGTTTGTTTTACATCAAAGTCCATCATTTTCAAACATAACCAAAAAGAATAAAAACTCCAAACCAAAGCATGTACGTGATGCAAATATGTTTACCTGCACAGTAAGATGAACACAATAGTGGCCTGACAAACTCATACACATAATAGTCTCCAGGACAAGCTTTGACTCTTATGGGATGAGATTTGTAATCACAGCAGTCATTCCATGTGGAAACGCACACTTGCCGAGTGACCACTCCATCTTCTAGCTTTGGGTGAGGGCCGTTGAGCCAAAGTGGTTTGTCTGTGCCACACATGCCAGAACCAACACATGAATCTGGCATCTGGACACTCTGACCATAGTAGAAGAGCCTGTACCAGCCGTTCCAGTTGACATTATAATCACACATGTAATTGTTGTAATAATTGTCAGTGGCTCGCCAAGGGTCATCCAGACTGGTGTAGTCATAGCAGGGATCAGTATTTGGAGTGCTGAATGGAACTATAGTGAAAATATAAAGAGTGTATTATAGCTATTGTGGATTAAGCATGTTCAAGACTACATGATTAATACCATTTAGCATTTACAGCTCTGTAAATAGTTTTCATATGAAAGGTGACTATAATTCTTTAAGTTATGAAGGAGAATAACTTTACCTGCACAATATACAGGCACTGGGATCGATGGCTTTGGACTTTCAAGCTTGTAGACGTAGTAATTTCCAGGACAAGCTTTGACTTGGATGGGGTCAGATATGTAGTAACTGCACTGGTCATTAACAGAGCCGTAGACTTCACGAGTAACGACTCCATCTTCTATCTCAGGATGAGGGCCACCAAGCCACAGAGAACTATAACCTCCACATAACATGTAACTGAAACACCACTCGGGCATCTGAGCACTCGATCCATCAATGAAGAGTCGATACCAGCCATGCCATTCAACTAGAGTGTCATCATTTCCAGACATATATCCATATTGATACCAGTAATTGAGTGTGCTTCTCCAGTATTCATCAAGAATGTTGTAGTTGTGGCATGGGTCATAATCTGTGTCAATGGCAGCTGATGAGACCAAAAGAAAGAAGTCATATGTCTTTTCAAATCTTGACATTTTGTTTTGGTATCAGTGGAAGGTTCTTACATGTACACAACATGTAAAAGCTTTTGAACAGAACAGAGATGTACACATTTTTCTTATTTTGCATAAATATCATATTTTTTTCATTTAGTACTGCCCTTCAGAGTCTAGAGAAGATAGTTACATGTTTCCCAGAAGACAAAATAAGTTAAATTTACCCTGATCTTCAGATTCAAAAAGCTCTTAATGCATTGTGTTTCCTTCTGGAGCATCAGTGAGCATTTTAACCTTCTGTAATATTTGCATATGAGTCCCTCAGTTGTCCTCAGTGTTTTGAACGGGGTCATATTTATAAATTCAACTATTGTTTTCTATTGTGGACTATATGTAAACATCTTTTATGTGAAATATCTTACTCAGGTCAGTACTAAATGAACAATAACAAGCATTTTGTATGATCCCACTTATTTTGGTAAAACAATTAAAGGGGTCATATGATGCTGCTAAAAAGAACATTATTTTGTGTATTTGGTGTAATGAAATGTGTTTATGCGGTTTAAAGTTAAAAAAACACATTATTTTCCACATACTGTACATGTGGTCACAGAAAAAATAACATTTTAAAACATATTAAAATAGAAAACAGTTCATTTGTAATATTTCACAGTATAACTATTTTTGATCAAATAAATGCAGCTTAAGCATAAGAGACTTCTTTCAAAAATCTAACTGCCCTCAAACTTTTGAATGGTAGTGTACATATATAATTTCATACATGTCATACAAAAGGTTTTATTTTCTATACACACACAAACACACTCTCGCAACTCACACACTGTTAATTATTAGTATTTTTTTTTTTACATTAAAACACCTAAAACAACACTTAATTTCAACATATACTCTGCTGATTCAGATATGCAAAGCATTTTGGGAACTAAAGAAAATCCATTGCCCAAGCAGTTTCAATTCAATAAAAATAATTTGTGTTCAGACTACATGAATAATAAACTTCAGTTTTACACAATGAACGGAATAAAATGAGTTATGACCAAATGTTCAGCAATTTTGTTGCTTTAATTCATTTTAATTAAGTAAATGTGGATGAAAAACACTGATGGAAAAACAAACAAATACAATATTGATAGAAATTAAGTCATGTTATGATCAAAAGATAATATGATCCGAGCAGTTCAAAGCATACTTGCAGGAAGCGAATGACTCTACATGATGAGTGACACATGACAGCATTAACCTTTTCTAAATGAAGATATTCTGGGAACTAACGATCTTTTATCATTTCTTTGAGATGTGCAGTACATTAAAGTTTTACATTCCAAACACATTTAAGAGGCTTTTTTGTACATAATATATACTAAGTTTGACATACACATTTTTGTTTGTTGCAGTGCAAATGCAGATTGCTAAAAAGCAGTAAATTATAGCAAAATGTTTGGAACACATTTTATATTATTATTATTATTAAAAGTAAGGAATTGGAAGAAGAAGAAATTAAGGATCATTATAAATTATGATAAAGTGGACCCTATTTTAATAAAACTCTTACCGTTAATCAACAGGAGTTGTGACGCACACAATGAGATTAGAAACCTCATTGTGGCAGACTGCTCCTGGGGACGCCAAAGTGTCAAAGTGATCTGTAAATAAATATGCGCATAATTATGTATTTAATTATGTACATAACTACATAACATACAGCGGGTAAAATAGGCCAAGTATTAAACACGTCACCATTTTTCTCCGTAAATATATTTCTAAAGGTGCTGTTGACATGGAATTTTCACCAGATGTCAGTCACAACCCAAGTAATCCATACAAACAAAGAAAACAAAACAAATAAGTTCAGAAATTAAGTTATGTGTAATAAAACGGAATGACCCAGGGAAAAAGTATTGAACACACTTACTGAAATTTATTTAATACTTCGTACAAAGGCCTTTGTTGTAATGAGAGCTTCAAGATGCCTCCTGTATGGAGAAACTAGTGGCATGCATTGCTCAGGTGTGATTTTGGCCCATTCTTGAAGGCTCAAATCTTGAAGATTCTGTGGTCCTCTTCTGTGAACTCTGATCTGTAGTTCTTATTTTCTATTGGATCCAAGTCAGGTGATTGGCTGGGCCATTCTAGCAGCTTTATTTTCTTTCTCTGAAACCAATTGAGAGTTTCTTTGGCTGTGTTTGGGATCATTGTCTTGCTGAAATGTCCATGGTCCACCCTTGATTCATCTTCATCATCCTGGTAGATGGCAGCAGATTTTTATCAAGAATGTCTCGGTACATTTTTCCATTCATCCTTCCTTCAATTATATGAATTTTGCCAGTGCCACACCATGATGTTTTTGGGGTGATGTGCTGTTGTTTCATCTTCATCATCCTGGTAGGTGTTGGGACTGAACCAGCTAATATTAATTTCTTCTGACAAGGGACAGGATTGCTTTCTGGGTCAATATCACCATAGAGTGCATTTCAACCGTCACAATACTCAAAAATTTTGGTTTTAATTTCCCATTCGCTTTATTTCATTTCATAAATAGTAGGGGAGAGTGGGGACGTTTTCAAGTAACAACCGTGTCTTGGTTGTCAATTTAATTCTGAAATTAATTAATTTCAATGTGAAATTTAATAATAGCCTACTTCTGTTAACATATGTTAAAGGTTACTGAACTGAGGCCATTGCATAAACATAGCCACTATCTTAAGACTGTCTTAAGAACTAGTTTGACCAACTAGCAGTTAACAGTGGTGATCGGTCTTACTTTTTTAAAATTAAAATTAGACAAATCTACCATTTTATGGAACTGACTTGAGTCCACGTTTGAAATGAGTCCACTTTTACTTAAAGGGGTCATATGATGTTGCTAAAAATAACATTATTTTGTGTATTTGGTGTAATGAAATGTGTTTATGCGGTTTAAGGTTCAAAAAACACATTATTTTCCACATACTGTACATTATTATTTCTCCTCTATGCCCTGCCTTTCTGAAACGCAGAGTCAAGACACTGAAATTGAATAATAGCCTACTTCTGTTAACATATGTGAAAGGTTACTGAACTGAGGCCATTGCATAAACATAGCCACTATCTTAAGACTGTCTTAAGAACTAATTTGACCAACTAGCAGTTAACCAAGTGGTAATCAGTCTTTTTTCAATTCAAATTAGAAAAATCTACCATTTTATGGAACTGACTTGAGTCCACTTTTGAAATGAGTCCACTTTTACTTAAATAAAAAAGGAGAAATACCTAACTATTGAAAGGGGTTCTTTATTAATCCATAAAATTACAATTATGTAATGTTATGGCAAGCTTTTACATCAATGTTGTGGTAAGGGACAGCATGTTGGGACGGTTGCAACGTGTTGCAACTTGTCCCCACACTGACAGCAGTGACAAAACTTGGTATATTAGCTTGACACAATATCTTTGACACATGCTAACTATGCCTATTAGAAGTCAAGAAAACACAGATATAAATCATATGTTTTTACAATGCTTCACGCAAACAACTTAGGCAGTATGACAAAAAAATCTGATAAAAAAAAAAATACTTTTTTACCATGAAAATTATTATTTGTAGAAGGAATGGTCACATGTGCCTGATTTCATCCAGGAAGGATGAGGTGCTGATTGAGCATGTGTAGTATGAATATCATCACTGTAGCTCATTCCTGATTGAAGAAATAAGCCATGTTGCAACCGTCCCCACTCTCCCCTACACTCAAGTACTATAGAAAACATATTAGCTGAGCTCCCACACATTTTTTAGATAATTATGAGCCATTATTTGAAGCATAATCCATAAGATATGTCCACACTGTCATGGGCATATATATTACTGTTAAATACGTTTTCATTGCTAAATTAAGATGCAAATTATATTTTCAGAAAGGTATGATGTGCCTTTCCTAAACAGGGTTATTTGTTTGCTTTCAAATTATAAATACATAAAAGATTTTATGTAAACCATGTGTTTTTAAAGAAACTCATACAATTTGCACATGTAGCCTATTTTTTCTTATTTGGAGAAAACTGTGATATTTGGATGCAGTTTTTTTGTTTGTATGTTATTGCCCCCACACTTAGCTATTAAACGCACTGGGTTATATAGATATGATTGAATTATTATTTAAAATATTACTGTAAAATATCAAGATGACAGGGTGGACCAGCACATGACAGGGTGGACACATAATGCAGAACACACAAAGCATGACAAAATATGACAATGAAACATTTATTTAACTTCGAAAAAATTATATAATAATAATAATAATAAATAATTGACTAACTGAATAGTTAGTCTGGTTGTTGAAGAGAATTTGGTATATTTAAACTTACATATTCTGAAAATACTGTATTCTAATCACTTCTGGCATATTTTATGCCAACAGTGTGGACATGTTAAGTTTTGGCAAAGCAAGTAAGCAAACTCATAAGAAGAAAATTTGTCAATTGAAAAGTCACCAATTTACCTCAGCTGTTGAAATTTCCCGCCACTGACGAGACAAAAAAATCTGTTGTCCTGATGTCACTCAAGGGGATGGCCTTTTCTTAAAGGGGCGGATTCCCCAATATGACAGGGTGGCCAACCATTCGAGGGACATCGACAAACTCTTTTTTTATTAAATAAAAATATCGTTTTTATAACCAAATGATCAATACACTCAAATGGAGTAATCTCTTATTTAACAAAATATTAATAGGAGAACATATATTTTTTTTATTTTATAATTTGACAATATTCTACCATCATTCAAATTTAATGAGCAGTGCATGGGACATAGCAAAATAACATGCATCCTCTTACACAAAATATAAAATATATATATATAAAAAAGTTAAAACTTAGCCTAATATAACACACCCTTTCATAGTCATTTTTGTTAAGTTATCATGCAAATGAGTTTTGTACAGGACACCAAAAGGCACCCTACAGTGATATTGACCCTTCTAATTACTGCTAGATTTCAGCTGGTGTCTTGGCTTTCCATGCCTTTTTGCACCTCCCTTTCTTCATGTTCTATACTTTTTCCCCCCGTGTCATTACATTTTATT